ACTTACTACTTACATAATAAACTTTATTAGGTATTGAAATATAATTAATAGACTTAAAATATGACATACTGTTTGCATTCTTTTATTCTAAATATCAAACTGTACATGTCTACTTAATAATAATTTACATGAAATACGATAGATATTATGTACAAACTCACGATGAAAATAAAACCGAATTAAGTGTCACCATATCCTATTTAGCTGTCGATAATGTGTATGAAGTTTTACCGAACACAACATTAGGGACAAACTATTATAATTTTTCACACATAACTCAACTCAAACCGCTAATTTATATTGTGAACTACATAATAATTAACATTATATTAGTTTTCAATATCTATTTTACTAAATCTGTAAACTAATCAAAATTAAATCAAAATATAACTAATACAAACTTAAGCCCAGCCGTTAACTTGAACGGTTGTATATTTTCGTCGTTTTTTTATTACATATTTTCGAATCCAATGCAGTGCGCTACACATTACACATTTAAATATTTTTAGTTTTATTAGGTTTTATGTGGTACGAATTGCTACATATTATATTACTGTCTAGGTTAGGTTACAATATTACAATAGATAATTAGTACCAACCGAAGTGTGTATAAGGCTAACAAATGGAAAAAACGGAAAGCTATTATTTTAAAATATATGAGTCATATATTTTGAAGATTCTGCTAGAATAGACAAATAGTTTGTTATGTTTGTTCCTTCATAGACCATTTTTATTTTCACCAAAGATTCACACCATGTTCAAGGAGAAAATACTCTTAATTTTACCGTAAGCGTATTACAAGTAAATTATCTGCACAGTATTTGACCGTCAATATGTTTCTCGCACAAAAATATTTACAGAATACACATTATCACACGTCATGTTAGCATGTTGTCTACACAAAAATATTTAACTTTTGTAAGATTCAGAATTGTTCAAACTTTTTCTTAAAAACTAAAATAATTTTTTCAAGTAATAAAAAATTCACAAATTGTTTAAAGTTTAAAGGAAAATGGTTTATTGATGTACACAGTTTCTACTTATTTTTATTATACATGTATTATATTTGAAAATTATCATTTTATTCTAAAACAATATTTACTTAATTAGATGAAAAAATTATTTCAGCTTTTATGAAAGGGATTAAAAAAATCAAAAGAGTAGGTACACAAGAATATAAGATAAATATTTTGTGTAGACAACATGTGTGATAGTGTGCATAAGGTAAAATACATTTGTGTGAAGGACAAATTATAGACAGTCGAAGACTGTGTAATCTTCTTGTAATGTGCATAATATGGTAAAACTAAACATTTTAAATAATACATTTCCGTAAACACATGGTGTTATTACCATGGTGAAAATTAAAAAGGGCTGTAACAAATACGACTAGGAAGAGTAATTCGATGTCCGAAAACACACTGCTAAATTAAATTAATTTTAGAATTCGTTTAGTATTAGTTTTGAAGACAAATTTAGTATACAATATTGGGTATTATTATAAATTGTAAGACATTGGAAGTGGGGAATTTCAAAAAATATTTATTTGTACATGTCTATAAAAATGTAATCTAAATTCTAAATGGCCAAGCGAGGTTTTTCTTTTAACTTTAAAATACGTCTTATTTATAACACACCACATTCTTTTGGAACTCCAGGGACTCTTTGACCCAGGCTAAACCCAGGCCACGATTCGCAACTATTTTTATTCATCACATTTTTCTTCATCATTTTAACTCTTTTAATTTTATTTATCTTCTGTTTCTTCTGCTGATCCTTTATTCAACTGGAGTAGTACTTCTAAAATGCTTAAAAATATTGTGCATTTCTGATTTTAGTTGTAAATAGAATTGTTCGAATTCAAATATTATTAAATACATTTGTAATATTTACCAAACGGATTTGTTGAAAGCCTTGTTTATATGGCTATTGTATTGTGGTATTTATAATAAAATGGACTAAAATTAAAATATAATAAATTACAAAACCTGATGCTAACCATTTACAACTTTATCAATTAATCATAAAAAATACTCGAGAGTTGAGACATGAAATATAGGCTGCGTATATGTAATGTTTTGGATATTATTTTCGTGGCAATTAACATAAATGTACATCACCTGCATAATATTAAAATAAATAAATCGTTAAATGCCAAATTAGTTGTAGGTATAGTAGATATTATTATGTTTCAAAAATAATATATCCGTATTATTTAAATTCGCTAAATACATTCGAAACTGTTATCGCGCATCTTTTTCATATGACAACTTATAAAAACAATGCGTTATAAAATATAAAAACTCATTGAGTAAGTGCTATTCATAATATTGCACGCACATGGCACATCTTTGTATTATTGTAGTGTTATTAACAGTCTAAAATGCAGTTCAGTGAAGCATATTGCTAATATTATTTCAGCAAAAGCACTTGCGTGCAGCACATCGAAAACTGTTTATAGAATATTATATGTAAAACGCGGCCGCGGCACCTCCATTCAATAACACGCATAGAATTTTTTTTACGTAATTTATTTTGCTCGATTCAAAATGCTATAACATACATTATAATATAAAGCTTGAACTCCTGCGATGCGTGTAATTTATATACTATCCTTATTCATATTTTGTCGTACGTGTGTTTTTTCACTTATTTATAATTCAATATGAATATATATATATACGTATATACATATTCCGCATCGGATATTATTTGCCACGAGTGTAGGTGAACATTAGAAGTCTGCGAACATAAGATAGTAGATAAAGAATAATATAGATCGAATAAAGAAGTTATGAGCCCGAGCAATTTGCCGGAACTATTATAAGAATTCTCTTTACGAGAAAAAATGTTGTATACGCGTGTGGCAAGAGTCTTTAATCTAACACAGCCCATATATATAGTATAGTTTAAAAGATGAAAAACTTTTTGTAATTGCAACTCAACTACGCGTATATGCGACGCATAAAAAATGCATATGCTTTACGGTAAAAAATAACTGTGGCTAACGTTAAATAAAATATTGACTAAAAACGAGGTGGTTTATCTCTTTTATATTTATTTATTAATGAGGCGAAACAGAGCAAGTCACTCTTCCTCGTAGCTGCAATTGGAATAAACTGACACGTTTAAAATATATTCTCGATAATATTATTTGGAAATAACCCGTTTTTGATAAAAAAAATTAAGAAATATTCTTTACAGTTTCATACGAAATATATTATTTCTCAGATATGAATAAAATATTAAGCCCTATAAAATATTTATTATTATATTATAATTCAAGGTTAGGTACGTATATGTATGCCCATTATTATTTAATACTATTTTAAGTTGAACTTAAATTTTTAACTTCACTCTAAAAATAATATGCATTTTATATTTATGTAAAACTACTGACAACAAACTTGTATTGATATCAATCCATTACTAAAGAAATATACGTATTTCTCTTGTGAAACAATGTATTATTTACATAACTTACCCAACAGTTATGTATAACCCTAAATAAACACAAACTACAATTTATACGTAATTCTTGGCATCTTCGGCGTATGTTTTGCTTGAGGAAAAGCATTTTAGAACTACTTTGAAACAACTTTTTAGGGTAAAATAAGACAATACTCAAATATTATGTTGACGTGTCTTCATTTCTCACACAATATTTGGTTAACGGTAGTTTGTGTATAACTATTATGGAATTGAACAGTTTCAAACACAGATAACATAAAATTTTTTATCGGTATTTAAAAATTCAATCCTAGTTTACCCAAAATATATATATTTAAACAGTCTCCTTTTATGGAATTCATCTTTGATAAACATTTTTTTAACAAAAAAAAATATATTATATATTTAATTAAAAATTAATTTAGTGTAATGAAATGTATGTCTTTGAAACCAAGCAGTTATAATTTATTATATTTATATTAATTTTAGCAAACGTTAAAACAGTGATTTTTTTTTATAAACTGTATAATACGGCAAATTAAATCACACAATTGCATGTATAGTATATTGTAATACAGACCGACAACAACAGAATCTAAAGTTAGGTAATTCATCAGTAATATTCGTTAAATTTGTCACGTAAGTTACGATTGTGTATAAGTATATTATAATTTATAACTATAAACATACTACCCATGTGGTTTTCCTGCTAGGGACTGAAAAGTCTACACAAACATCTACGGATGCTTGCGGCGATAGGATGAAAAGCGCTGTGGGAAAATCGTGATGGGGGTATAATATACTTCCGTGTAAGCTCTAAATAGGAAAACTCCGGTCAAAGTAATTTTTTGAAAACAGCTGAATAAGTTTTGAGAAGAAATTTAATCCTCGCGCGAACATTAGAACAAAATATAATAAGTTAAACTCTACACAATATAAATACACGCTTTAAGGCCGAGTCGTGGGCATTTCGTCAATCATTAATATTTGAATCTTGTTATTTATGGATTTTTGAGAAAGAATGAAATTATCTTGCCAATATTTTTTCCCCTCTAAAAGTGTGGGGCGAGGTGTGTTAATTTCCATTTTTTTTTGGCATACAAAAAATAAGCTTAATTATAACGTCAAAACTCCATTCGTTTTTTACTTCATCAATTTGTTGGATATTCGAACTAATCGGTGTGTACCTATTTAAAGGTACCTATTTCAAGTAGCCGTTTTGAGAGATTGTCTATGGGTGTCGGAAAGTGCGTAAATATCTATAAATTATACTTGTTAAAACCCTAGTAGGAACTGTGTCGAAATTGACCTCGGGAACGACTAGATTATAAACTCTTTATAATATAATATATTATAGGTGCCTATTTTTTCCGCAGATTAACATAGGAAACGTGCATTAATATTCCCTCAAGACTGACCTGTTTTGCGTGCTCCCATCATGGCTGACAGCTTGACACCCGACGGTGGTGATCGTCTATAGAGGTTAGGTCGAGTGCCGATCACACGTCCATGGTAGTAGTCTCGGTAAATGGTTGCCGCGGTGGCGTTCGTTATTGTCGTGTGCGACTTTTGACGCGAGTTGGGAGGAGTAAAACACGTGCAAACCGTTGTGCCGGCAGACCTTTGTGACCGGTGGTCGTCGTCGTGTTCGCGATGCGACGCGGCGGTGTACTGAATCCACGGTGGCAGTCTCGCGGCGTGACGGCAGCGTCGTAGTCGTCGTCGGTGAAAATCGCGTGCCCCCGGCGGCGGCGGCGGAAAACTGAAAACTTTTCGGTCCCTTCGTCCCGCCCACCAGGCAGTGGTGGCCAGGATGACAGGAAGACAGGAATACCGAAGGCAGCCCGAGTGATGGCCGCCCGAATCTTGACCGAAATTACTGTGGAGGCGGCAATGGTCATTTCCTCTAGACGCTAATATAATTATTCAACCTCTACTCTTCCCCAACGCTTCACCCTCCGAGTCCTTAGCATTAACATCCTGCTTTTGTGTTGTTTTTCATCATCTGCTTCTTCTCTTCTTCCAGTCTCAACGACGTTCACGTGCTCAAGTCTCCTATCTTGCTCGTATACTGCACGTAGAGAAGTTAGATGAATCGACGAATAACGGCGTTTGTTTTTTGTTTATCTATCAATAACAAAAATCACATAAGAACTACCAATTTTTTTTTTTTTTATTCGAAATAGGAACCACATACAGAGTAGTTGGTATTTATATATTTTTATTTTTCTATTTTGCATATATTCGTTCTGAATTTACTTAGCTCACTTGTAACTTGTAAGTATCATGATGATGTAGTACTTCCGACGCTCTATATCTTAATAAATAATCAGCCAATCATTTATTTCAAGTAAATGTAATGAGCTAAATTAAAGAAGGTTGTTTACCAATAATTTAATAGTACAGTTCTTAGAATAAACACGAAAATTATCATATTGATACGTTTTTTCAAATTTAAATATATTAAAATAATATACATAATGTAATATACCAAAAAATTGTATTGTATAACTCCTTGGGGGTATAATAACATAAAAGTTCTTGGAAATACTGAATCTTATATTCCCTTTGATATAAAGTAGGTAGTAATAATAATAAAAAGATAATTCGTAGATATCGTAATATTTTTATTTTCTCCTGTAGGCCAATTATACCTCTAAAACATTTTATTCTGCAAAGTTTTTCCATAGTACTTATTTAAAAATAAAAAAATCAATCCTTCTAATTTTTTCCCACGTTTTTGTGTCCCGTGTTTAAATAGGATAGTTTTACTTAAAAATGTGAAAACAATTGATTTTATAAAAGTATAAAAGACTTTGATTTACACGCATATGTTAAAAACGTAAGTTACTCATATTTTAAATGATAAATAAATGCTATATTGCATTGTAATAAATTTATAACGCCCAAAATGTCAATATGAATATTTAGATGATACAAAATCTATTCTTATTCAGCTTCTTATGTTAATATATTATATACTTGCATTTACTGGGAGTTGACAACCATAAAATAATATTATTCTAGAAACAACAAAGTTTTCAAAATTAAAACGAAATAAATACAAAATGTAAATTGAATACAATCGTTAAACAACGAATATAAAAAATTTAATCCCAGACTGCAATAACATGTTTAAGGAGATTTGACTGTGATGTATTTTTATTGTGTAATAAACAGAAACACATCCAATATAGGGTTGAATTTAATTTACTGACTTATTTCGAGTAATAAACACGATGTTTATACATTATGATGAATGTACAGCTACAGCAGTAATATTGTGTACTAGACTAAATTAATATTATAGTATCTTAAGCATAATTATTTTTATTTCAGAGTCATCTCGAAGTTTAAAAAAAAAAATAATATTCGTGAAATCGAAATGAATATGTAAAAACTTACAATTATACAGTGCACTGACGTTGTTTTATTATATCGCCATAGCTTAATAATATATCATAAATAAATTCTTTAAAATAATGTTAAGTGACACTGATGATCTAGCTATATGGCCTCTGACAAATAAAAGTGTTCTTACTATTGTGATGCACCGTGTCTATATTGAATCACGCTGATGGACATAATAATATATAAATTAGAAAAATATAACATCTCAGTCATTTTTTTTTTCAGGACTCCGTCTTTACTCTCCTACAACATTTCCCTGCAAAAAAACAGAAACCCGTAAACAGTTTTAAGGAGACATTAAGGTACACATTTATATACAAAAGATTCAACGAACTTTAAGATGTTTTAAGTGTTATCAGATAAAAATATATATTTTTTTCAAATTAAAATAATTTTATTTCCATTAAAAATAAAGAAATACCTATTTAATTATTGTATTTATACTTTATATTAAAGACAATTATAAAGCAACCTGTCACATTCAATGTTGTCTTGAACTAATTATACTGATGACATTAATATAATATATATGCGTAGCTTTCAAATATATGTTTTATGATTCAATAAAAAAAACTTCCGATAACTTCCATAATTGTACAAAAAAAATACACTAAAATTACGTTTTAGCATATTAAACCTTTAGATTTAATTTACATAAAACAGTTAGTGGAGTAACTATTTAGAAACTTGTTGGGCGCCTGGGAGTCCTTACCATACTAAATTAGTTGTTTTATCGTGTTTACGTTTCATTAGGTTCCAAAAACGCAACTTACGACATACCAAGAAAGGTGTTTTACGCAAACTGAAATGCAATAATGTACAGCGAACGTAAGCGCCCTACTCTAAATATAGAAGTGACCTTTATGAATAATTAATTTAATAATTTAATGTTCTACAATGTTAACCTATATAACAGTAAGTAATAAAAGGTAGATACGATGAAAATTAAAAACCTTTTCTTACTGAAAATTGTGATAACTGAATCGTAACAAACTTCAACCAATAATTATTGAATAATATTAAAAATAATTTTTTACCATAAGCTAAAATTCATGACCAAAATAAAATAATTAAATTTGTTTCTTTAAATGTATGATAAGAATATATAAACAGAGTGCAAAAATTACTTTTGTCATATTTTATATTGAATGTTCATATTATACGTCATCAGATGGATGGTAACGGTTATATTAATACTTAACCGTAGGTATATTCCTTTTTAACAGTAAATAGTAATCACTACTTAAAAAATTATTTTTACATTTTTTTTAAAAAAAATTACATAATATAGTCAGTACAAAAATACCTTTTTAAAAAAATTGTATTTTGTACTATTTTTTTATGATTATGGTTATTTAAGTTTTATTTAATTTTATCAACAAAAATAAATGTCTACTTGAAGGACAAATTAAATTTTTATGAGCGTTTGAAGTACACATTTTTACAATATTGGATATTCAATGGATTTCTCATGGAGTGATTTTCTTATTTTGTTGCAATTCTAATCCTTGTTTATTTAATCATTTTCTATAATTGAGAACATTTTTTAAATGTTGACTTGTAGCTGTTATTTTCAATTTTCAATTTTTCTTACAATTATATTTTAATACAATTATATTTGTTAAGCTGAGTGATTATTATTTTTAAAATTTATTTTAATTTTAGATTTTATAAATAAAACCACAGAACAGCTTAAATGTAATCTATTTAATCTATAATTCCAGGAGAAGGCCATCTTGTGTAAAGTGTTGTTCCTGTCACGGCAGTATTTACGTAAGCGTTATATCTTTATTTATTTATTTATTTACCATCATTAACTACCTATAAAATCTTAGGGATTAATAATTGTTATATTTATAATCATAACAAATAATAAATAAGGGTGAAACATATAATCATAATTATTATAAAAAAAATTTTAAATAGTATAAACTTTAAAGTTTAAAATAAAAGTGAATTAAAAATTTCTTAAACTTACCTGAGATATTGATCGGTGCGTCTGGTTCATGATAAAAGAATCCGACTGTATAGTTTAAGTCCAAAAAGCCAGTAATTTATGATGAATCCTAGTTGAAGTCAATATGGTTAAATACCAACAATAGCATCGAAGGCCGGATTCTTCTAACTTAACCAAGGAGATTAAGCATGGGGTAGGCTGTTTTATTTTATCAAAACAGACTTTCGTCGGCCAATTCTAAATCCACAGTATTCGTACACTAATCATATTATGCCAGGAAACTGAATTTTACGAGGAATAGACGTTAATTAAGTTTTAAATTCGATTTTACGAACTTGGTGAACTTGGTGTACTGGGTACATATTTTGTAGTATTATTATTTTACATTTTACATTTATGCGCTTATCGTTGCTTTTTTAATATGCTGCAATAATAGTGGAGTCGGCTCTTCTCCAAAAACAAAACTGAAATTATGGCGACTCATGCCATCTCGTCTGCAGAAGAAATCAAAGCTGCTTCTATTATTGTATTAAACAATCCGATTAGTATGGCAAAAGCGATTGCCTTTTACAAACCACAAAGCATCGTTCTCGCTGTAATAATCAGACTAAGTCTCAGAAATGTCTCATATTTAATGGGATCGTACCTACCCGTGTTTTACTCATCCGGTACGATATTTTCAATTACTACCGATTTATATTTTGTTATGTACATTGTCATCATACTATATTACTAAATTATAATCACTGAACAATTAAATTCGCATTGTAAAAATGTATGCACATAATTGTTTGGGTACAAGTTTACTTTAGCACACAACTAGGAAATTAAAAAAAAAAAATTTGGATTTAAGTAGCTCACCGAGATAATTAGTATTAATTAAATATCGTTAAATTTTATATATTAATATTATTCTTATGACTTATGAGCAATGTTGCGCCGTTACCGATCCTACGAATCGTGCGGTTGTCGGCAACGACTCGCGTCAAGTGTTGAAGGCTGGAGCGAGGACGGGTTACTCAATATGTGCGTACAACTCAAATGTGAGGTCGGAAACACGTTTAATGTGTGTAACAAAATATGACAAATAAATAACGGGCGCCCAAAATAATATAGTATAAATTAACATAACAACTAAATACCATAGCTGGTGAACAATAATTATATAAAGAGCCCACTGACACGTGGGACTAAAAAACAATGAATAAACCTGACGACGGCTACTGCGTGGCTCGGCGACTGCGTCGATCCTTGGTGATGACTGCTGACCAAAGTAGGTACCTCGCCGGAACGGCGACGGCGGACAAATCTTCAGCTCGTCGCTCGACGATGATAGCTCGTGGTTCCACGCGACTAGCGCGAACGCGAACTCGAATAATATATTTACGTCTTTCCGTGGCAAACACTCGCGAGCACGCGGATGGTAGAGTAAAACACGCGCACGGCGTAAATACACGAAAAAACGGACTCGAAGTGAGCTTAGCGTCACACGTCGATCACGACGGACAAAACACGCGTGTTCACACGCGACTT